CTCAGTCCTCTGCCTGAACCCAAGGGCCAGTGAGGCTCCCTGGGGGGAGACGAAACCACAGGCTGGCTCCGGGCCCAGCTGGGCCCCTCTCCCAGTGAGGCCTTGGGAAGGCCGCCTGACCTCTCAACTAGCACTTGCCACATACACGGAAGCCTGAGGCCAGAGTAAGGTCCCAGCTCTGGGAATTCTTGCCCTTCTCCTACCGCAGCAAAAGCGCCCAATCTCGAAGTGGAGACGCCTCGACCTGCTCCCTCCCTCTGGGCTCAGAGGCTTCCAGTAGCTTCAGACTCTGCTAGCAGAGCAGTGCTTGTCCACAATGCCCACAGCCACATACGCGGCCCTGGCTCAGGAGCCTCAGTGGCTGGACTATGGGAAGACCCCTCTGGAGAAGGGCCAATCGATGTAAGAAGTGATGCCCGGCTGTGCTGGGAAGCAAAGAGATGCCAGTAGAAACAAGATATTGCTTCTCACCTGTGAGACTGCAAAGATTTCTTTAAAAGCTAAAACCCCCATAAAGGCAAGAGAATGGGAAGGCATCAGGTGCCCTGGTCGTCTTCCAGGAAGAGCGGCCTTGCCAAGCCTCCGGGGGCTGCACACCCCACAGCTCCGTGCACCTGAGGACCCCACATTTGCACACCTCTGACTCAGGGACACCGCTTCTGGGAAGTTCTCATTCGGGCAGAGTGTGACGGTAAAGAGCACAAGCATCCGAGTCAGAGCCGGGCTAAAAGCATGGCTCTGCTATGGTTCGCGGGACCCTGGGACCCCGGGACCCCGGTTTCTCAGCTGGACACAAGGGCTGGGCTGAGGACACGTTCAACAAAGTGAAGGAGCACTCAGTCATCCGTGGCAGCTGTCACTGCTGCCCTAACAAGGCCGGCACTGCCGTCATCCTCAGGAAACGAGCTCAAGACACGGGCAAACGGACGTCGACGTCACCGCACCATTTCTAACAGGGAAGAAGCACTGACACGGCCGACCACAAGGAAGGGGTGACGAGTTACAACGCACCCACGTCTGCGGAGAGGAGTCCATCAATGGCCAACACAGCGCCTTAACCACCTGGGGGTCTGCAGTTACAGGGGATCGTCTTTTCTTAGCTAAATTTTCCATCTTTTCTATACAAATTTTGAAGTTAAGGACTTTTTTATTTTTAAAAAGTAAAATTGAATTTTAAGTCATCCAACTCTGTGTCAATAAACATAATGACATTTAAGGGGCTCCTGGTGAAGGATGAGATCAAATAACTCCATCTCCAGGTGTGACAGCACACAACAGACACGAGGGCTCAGCTGGGGATGAAGCGGGAGTCACTGCGGGTCCCGGAGGCTCCACAGCTGGGGCTCCTCTCTGCTCCTCCAGTGTCGCAGCACTGCCACGGCATCCCTCACTCCCCCCGTCCCTTTGTCCATTCACCTCATCGCTCTCTCTCTTTCTCTCTTCATTCATTCTCAGCCATGCAGTGTCCACTGCAGCTCAGGACTATAGCGGAGACAGGTTAGCGACCATTCCATCTCACCCTCTAGGACATCACCAGCAAGTACAGGAGATAGACAAGCAATGGCCCTGATGACCCTGCACCATGAGCCACCTGGGGACTGAGGGACCAGGATGAGGAAGGAGGACATCAGCCGACACCTGCTGAGTCCTGACCTTGCGTGGACCCCACCCCAGTGCTCTACGTGCACGCAGGGCCCCAGAGGAAGAGGAGCACGGTGTCGGGGGAGCCGTGCATGCAGCCTGGCCGCTGCAGCACAGAAGCCATGAGCTCATCACAGTGAGGGGGCTCTGAGGAGCAAGAGCGACAGGACTGGATCTGCAGGTCTCAGCGACCATCCAGCTGCCGCAGGGGCAGGGCTCAGGCGGGGGCACCGAGCGGGGGCCCGTGGCTGGAATCAGAAGGAAAACAGCTATGTGGGATTAAAGAAGAGTGGATGAACGTCAGAGAGATCCAGGGGCTGCAGTTACGTGCTGTCTCCTCTCCCACCTCCCCCCCAGGGCTGGGAGGGACACTCTCAGACATCAGGCAACAAGTGGAAGTGGCCCCAGGCCTCGGCCCGGGAGCTGCCACGTGAACTCTGTCTGCACTGACTCTCTGGGGTCCCGGGCACACGACAGAGAAGGCTTGGGGAGAACCCAGGGAAGAATATGGAATCAATGCATGGATTTGGGTTTTGATACGAGGAGAATGGAAAGCACAATCAGAAAGAATTAGATTCTAACACTAACTAGAACTAGAAAAGCACAATTCATTAACTGACAACAGGCATCAGGTAACATTTTCACACCCCATCCCTCGCCACTCCCTTCCACACTGAAGCCGTGCCTCTGATGGGCCAGGCCCTGGGCAACAGGCTGACCTGGAGCTGCTCTCAGGGAACCTACGTCCTCATGTCGAAGGAGCCAAAGGTGGCATTACCTGGTAGGTAGGTTTGTAGGAGGAACTGAGAACCAAATGTAACTTGCATTACAGAATTTAGACTCTGTGAAAATCTTCTCCTTTTGGGAAGGCAAGAACTCAGCATTGTTTTTAATTAGTGAACACAGAAGCTGGACCACAGTCCAGCGCTGGACGATGACCGACACTACTGAGCGGACAGATGCGCTCAGGAGTGGCGCTCCACCCTATCTGCGCTCGGCCCGCAGGAGGCCCACTACCTTCATCTGCACGGCCGCAGACCCGACGAGGAGCAAGGAGTCTCCGTCCCAGACATCGATCTGCAGGGTCTGCCCAGCCAGGTAGCGGGTGAACCAGCGCTGCTCTCCGGGTTTCAGGAATCCGGGATCCACCAGGTACTTCAGCTGGAAGCCCGGAGACCCTGTTCAAAGAGGCCCCAGATGAGTCTGAAAGTTATTGGAGTCATTTATCATCTTTACACCTTGAAGATATTTCTGCTCTGATCATGTTTACTAATTTCTGCTTCCATCATAGCTACAGTTTAATAAACACATTAATCAAAAACATCATAAAGTATCCAAATTAACAAAAGAGAGCATCGTATTCAGAAGACTAGGTTTCTTTCCAATACATACAATAAACTCCTCCCAAAATAAGATTTATGGTTGTCGCCAAGTCCCCATGACATAGTCCACACCGGACGAGAACAAACACCCTGACAGGCTGGCAGGGACTCCCATTCTGGGCGCACAGGATTTAGGGAGAAATGCAGTCCACATCTGCTGTCGGCACTGGGACGGTCACACGCACACACACACGCACACGCGCGCGCAGGGCTTGAGCTGAGATCAAGCCCAGCACACAGCTTGGGAGACCCAGAGCCCTACCTTATGCCCCGCGGCAGCAGCCCCGCAGGGACCCAGGCCCTCTGGAGGGCTAGCTCCTGGGTACCAGGCTTATTACTAAGAGACAGAACCGGACTGCAGCCCCTGCCGTCATCTTCTCCAAGTGGCATCATCACTAATTCTAAATTGACAAAGGTGCCACTGAAATCACCATCAGTTAAAGTGCAGGAACAGCCGTGCTGGGGAGCACATTCAAAACAGCATCTCGCCCCTTTCTATCAGGAACATGACAGTATTTATGATGCCCCCGAGGAGAACGCGAACTCTGGGGAGGGAGGGGTGAAGGTTTACTCAGCACCCGTGAGGCCCCGGGCCAGGCTGAGATCCCCACCCCACCTCCAGCCACCACAGCCCCACAGGTGCCCACACAGTAATGTCCCCTCTGCTCTCCTCAAGACTAGGACAGCACTTTCAGTGGAAGGAGTGAAATAGGCTGGGACGGGGACACAGCTCTGGGGGCTGAAGGGGAGGAGGGCCCCAGTGGGCCCGGGGGAAATAGAGGGAGGACCAGCTAGGCAGGCCTGGCTCCAGCCACAGCAGGAGCTTCGGGGGCCCCTCACAGGGTGGAGGAGCTGTACAGCATCAGGACAAGGCCGAGGGGGGCTGGCAATGACATCATGCAGTGGCAGGCCAGTCCCCAGCGTCACATCTCAAGTGATCAGACCAAGTCACAGGGCCAGGGGAGGCCAAGAATACCCCCTGCCCCCGCCCCCCCCAGACCAGCTCTAGAACTAAGTGGCCTGTGGCATCTGGTCAGTGTCACAACACCCACTCAGAGACGGTAGCCCGGCGGCCGGCTCCTCAGAGGCGCAGTGGGGATTGAAACAAAGACCTGTAAATGCCAAAGCCCAGGCTCGCGGCACTAACGGCGCAGCTCCCACCTCCAGGCCCCCCTGGACTGCAGGGGAAGGAGCAGCCCGAGCACTCGTCTCCACAATGCTCAGACTTCTGGCTCAAAGAGGCAGAATAGATCTGAACTCTGTGGGCCAACGTCCCGAAAGACACCTACAGATACCCTTCCCTGGGCGCTGTCCACACTCCACCTCCAACGTCTCCCAGACACACAGATCCACCACCACTGGGCTCTCCACCCAGAGTTCTACTTGTGCCCAAATGCAGCACGTCCCAACTGCACCCTGCTTCCTCTCCTCCAGCCAGCTCCTCCTTGCATAGTCTCCAACTGCCTCCAACGCCCCGGCTGGGCTGGCTCCTCCTGCTCCATGATCACTACAGCCCATCAGCTGCCAGGTCCTTTCAATATGACCATTAACCCACATTCAGCCAGAGTGCCAGTACGCGGAGTGCTCTGGAGAAGACATTCACAGTGTGGGGGCCATCGTGGTATGGGCACAGTCGCAGGCCTCTCATGCTGGAGCCTCCCAGCTCTTCCCCACTGCAGGCTCAGACAAGCAGCTCCTCAGTGGTCTTCCCTGAGGTCCAAGCTCCCCACAGTCCATCCCATAGCACTGCCAAAGCACCCACAAAGGGAACCCTGCGGCATCTCCATCCCACTCAAAAGTCTGCAATGGTGCTGACCACTGACTCAACCAAGACAGACTCCCAGGGACAGTGGTACCCCACAGGGTCCACTCAGGCTCCCAAGCTTACCTCCCTGGCCCCTTCACAAATACCATGCCCCAGCCCAGCTGGGTCCTTACTGCGCCTCGGTGCAGCCCCACTCCCACGTCCCAGTCTGATGGCTGCTCTTCCTCTGGCTAGATGGTCCTTCCCCGCCCCTCGTCTCAATCTCCACGTCTCCATCATGACTCACAAACACCTGCTCTGTGAAGCACCCACAACTCCCTCAGATGACAGACGCTGTAATACTGAAGTCTACAATTCATGATGAATGTGTAGTAGCTATGAAAATCTATGCACTGGGCTGGCCCCGTGGCTTAGCGGTTAAGTGCGCGCGCTCTGCTACTGGAGGCCCGGGTTCAGATGCTGGGCGTGCACGGATGCACCACTTCTCTGGCCATGCTGAGGCCGCGTCCCACATACAGCAACTAGAAGGATGTGCAACTATGACATACAACTATCTACTGGGGCTTTGGGGAAAAAAAAGGAGGAGGATTGGCAATAGATGTTAGCTCAGAGCTGGTCTTCCTCAGCAAAAACAGGAGGATTGGCATGGATGTTAGCTCAGGGCTGATCTTTCTCACAAAAAAAAAAAAAAAAAGGAAAATCTATGCGCCAAATAATAAAGCAGAAATCTAGGGATGCAAGGAGAAATCGATGAAAACAATAATAGTAGAGATTGACTGACTACTTTCCTTTCAAGGCAGGTCATGTAGACAATAAAATTAAGTAAGGATATAGAAGACCAGACCAGCTAATCCATAAGATACAGTGTATGCATATACATAGAACACTGTACCCCAATAATAAATACATCTTCTCAAGTGTACTGGAATATTAATAAAAATTGACTGTATATTACACCACAAAGAAAACCTAAATATTCTCCATAAAGTAGAAATAATGCAAACAATATTCTCTGATCACAATGCCACAAACTAGAAATTAGAAACAATTTTTTAAAACAAATTTATAACTTACCCTTAAATAATTCTATGTCAAAGAGAAACCACAATCAAAACAGATTTTCTTGAAAATACTACTTATCAGAATCACCAAATCATAAAGCAGTAATCAAAGGAAAATTCATAGCCTTGAATAATTTATATCCATAAAAACAAAAGAATTAAAATAAACAAATTAAGCAATTCAAACAAATTACTATAACAATAAAGAAAACCAAAAAGAAAGCCAGAGGAAGGTAATAATAAAGATAAAGGCAAAATCTAATTGATTAGAAAACAGCAAAACTTATATGAGGCAAAAAGAAAGACATGGAAGCAGAAATGAGCAAATGGAAAGTCATCGCTGTTCTGGGGCAGGACAGCTCCCATCCTACAAGGGCAATCCTCCCCACGTTAATCTTTGAACTCACCAGAACCCCAATAAAGAACCTAACAAGTTCATGTGGAAAACTAAACAAGCAAGAATGTCCAGGAGAACCTTGCAAGGAGGAAACCAGAACAACATAAGGCCTCTGATCAAACAGCGTGACAGCTGTGCATGGACAGACGGTCTGATGAAGAGTCTGGTAAACTATAGCCCACAGGCCAATCCAGCTGTGAGCTCAGAATGGCTTTTATATTTTCAAATGGTTGTAAAGAAAAGAAAAAAAGACCCCACAGAGATTATATGTGACCCAGAAAGTCTAAAATATTCACTATCTGGTCCTTAACAGAAATCAGTGTGCCAACCTCTTCTCTATATGGAACAAAACAGAAAATCCCAAAATAAAGCCAAGTATTAAAAAAACGTTGGTATATGATAAGGGTGGCTCTCCAGTCACTGAGGAAAAAGATGGACTTTTTAATAAGTGGCACTTGGTCAACTGGATAGACATTTGAAAAAAGATAAAACTGGATCTACCCCTCCCATCACACAGCAGGGTAAACTACAAATAGATCAGAAGTCTAACGTAAAAAATGAAGTCCGAGAAGAAAACACGCATTACTCTCTTTATGAGCCAGGAGAGGAGAAAGCCTTATCTAGGTAACTCAAGAATCTAGAAGTGGGGCCGGCCCAGTGGCGGAGTGGGTAAGTTTGACACTCCACTTCTGGCAGCCCGGGGTTCGCGGGTTCGGATCCTGGGCCTGGCCTACGCACCACTTATCAAGCCACACTGTGGCAGGCATCCCACATAAAGTGGAGGAAGATGGGCATGGATGTTAGCCCAGGGCCAATCTTGCTCAGCGAAAAAGAGGAGGATTGGCAACAGGTGTTAGCTCAGGGCTAATTTTCCTCACAAAAAAAAAAAAAAAAGAATCTAGAAGCAAACACAGAAAAGACTGACTCATTAGACTACATAAAAGCAAAACCCACCACAAGCAAAGCAAAAAGACAAATGACAAAGAAGAAAAACATATTTGCAATTTACACCACAGGCAACAGTTAATCTCTCTCATAAACAGAGTTCCCCCAACAGAGGACAAAATGGACTAAAAATCTGATAGAAAAATGGAAAAAGATACGAACAGAAGTTTGCAGACAAATAAAGACAAATATAAAAGATGCTCAACTTCACTCATTATAAAAGGAATGCAAATTAAAACTTCAGTAAGATCCATCTCACATCAGCCAGATTGGAAAACTCCCAAAGTTTAACAACCCATTTTGTAGGTGAGGCCCTGAGCGCACAGGCAGCCTCGTGAGTTGCCAGCAGAACAGGGAAACGTCACAGGGGAACACAGGGCAGGTGGCACTGTCTATCAACACCACTGAAGCCTGGATCCCATAATCCCACTCCTAGCAACATGCCCTAAACACACACCTCCGTACACAGAAACACAAGGTTACTAACTGCTGCATTATCTGACACGGTGAAACCCTGGAAGCGACCCAAACGTCCCCCCCGCAGGAGGCGGGTCGAATAACCCTGCAGAGCACGCACCCAGGGCAGTGCGATGTAGCTGCAAAAAACCATGCAGGGGGCTTCCACGTG